GGGGGGGGGGGGGTTCAGTAGACAGGGCAGGTTCTGTTGACGGGGTGGGGCGCCCCGCTTGTATAATGGTAAGGGAAACACTGGTTGGAGTATATGTAGAGTTAAGGGTACAAACATGTGCACAAGGTATTTTCAGGAATGGTTCCATACTGGGTTTGGTTACATGTTTTGTACTGATTAAAGACCCATATTATTTATATTAAGCTTAACTAGACGATGAGGAGACGGAAGTCAAATTACTAGACTGAGATATAGATATGCCAACGGAGGGCAACAGAGAGCACTAACCAGAATAAAACTCTGAAGATGAAATGCAAGACCATGATTAGTTGCTACACTTACATGTACACATGACTCACAGAACTCACAAATATGCTGCAGCAACATCACACATACAAGTACTCGAAGCTGGTATCGGGACACCAGCTTAGTTGTTCAGATGTTGTTTCTTCAGTCACTGCAGTTTTTTCCTCAAACTTTAGTAGACCGTAGTGTGCAATGTCAATTAATAATAAAACTGTTATAATAAGAATTTAGCTTTGGCCAACGAAAAACTTTTATCAGTCTATATCTGATGTGTGTTTTCCATCTTAAATGTGTTTAAATTTGGACAAATACCAGTGTGATGGCAGTGAACATGTGTAAGCTCACATTTGACAGCATGGAGCACTCTGTTGTCCAGGGGCTTGCGGCTCGGGTCGTTGGTGGACGATCGGATCCCCGTTCCGCAGCTGTTAGCCAGAGTATTCCTGATGCACCAGAAATGGAAACGAGTTACACCGAACAGAGGAAATCAGCATCCTTCAGAAGCTAGCACAAAAATAATCATTTTCTATATTAAAACGTCTAACTTGGGATGAAACACTTGCAGAAATAGACCCAGAGATAAGAGAGAAAGAAGAACCTGTCAAAGAAGGCAGCCAGCAGCCTTCTCAGCAGCACCTTGTGTCTAGTCCCAGCACTCACATGACAGTTCATGAGCTGCGCTCGTGAAATGTACACAGAAGTACCTGCGAAGGACAGAACAAGGGTTTTAAAAAAAGTCACACATTCTCCTTGATGTGACTCTAAACCCTTGTTGCTCTTAAGATGCATTTGTACACTGTTGCCTCATAGAAACTGCACTTGAATCCTCTTATCCGACATTAACAGATTAATATACCATTTATACTGTATTTTTACAGCAGAACAGAAACTGCCTCTGTGCATACGGATTTCCTCCTTCTTCTTCTTCTTCATTCTTGTATTTTGTTTGATCACAAACATCTACACTCTGCTACAAAGCGAAGAATGGAACCACGCCCGTAGCTAACGCAGAGATTATCACAGGATGTCTTCCGACATAAACCCAGTGAGTCACAGGTGCAACACAATCCTACACTTCAGAGCCAAGCACTCCCATCAGAGCTACCAACTACAACATTCTACTTGATGATTTCTGTTAAGGTAATTAAAATAAAACGGTTTGTTCCAGAACTGATTAAAACTTTCCAAGATCACAATAAATCAGAAACAATTCCTTCAAGTTAAAAGCCTAGCATTTGTAAGTGCTATGTGTTGTCATCATTGTATGTTCCCATACAATGGCAAAATTAGTTCTCCTGGGATACACCCAGGTGGAACAGTGGGCAGCTATGTAAGCACCCAGGGAGCAATTAGGGATTGGGTGTCTTGCTCAGAGACGCCACGACATGTAGGAATTAGGGATGCACGATATTGGATTTTTACATCGCTTTCTCTGCGGTGGAATTAAAATACTACAGTATTCTGCATGGTATTTGTCAATTTGGCGTGCTACTAAATACAGATGACAACAAGGGGCTGAAAATCATGTAACACTTCAACTTGGATGATGTTTAATGTCAAATGTATTCATAACATTTACTCTCTCTAACACAATGACAACACTTAAACAGTGCAAATTTGTAAATTTTCACAAATCTAAACTCAACCTGTTCACAAGCGACAAGTGAAAAGCGCATAAGTAGTGCATTAATAGATATTCTCGACAGTTTCTTAAATTAAAATCAAATTAAAACGGAAGCCTTTTATATTGGTGAGTTTCTTTGATGGAATGTCCGATATTTAACTTTATCGCTAATATCGGTCGATACCATGCCGATAATATCATGCATCCCTAGTGGGAATGGCTGGGGATCAAACCTGGGACTTGCGGGTCCCAAGTCGGCTGCCCTACCTCTACCCCATCTCGGCCATTTGTTAAAGGAATGCCCATCACCTGCTCCCTCATGGCAGGGATTTAGACTCAACTCAATCTATTTTGAGAAAAAGCTGAAGTTGTAGCTATTTTGGTTAAATCTGGAAAACACCATTAAGCCGCACTCAAGATGTGACGCTTACCTGAGCATTATACAGTAAATGACTGTCAGCTACTACCACATAAGATTTTAACCAATTATCTGTAAAACTGATCAAGTTAGAAACAATATTAGGTCAGTAGGCTGTAGCAGCCATCTTGATGTGGATTAACTCTAAAAGTTTATGAACTGTAAATATACAGTTAATGATTATTCTTTTGCAATTTTCAATAAATACACAAACACATGCAAAAAACATTATCTGCTTTCTCCTTTCAGTGGCAAGCAATACATATGAAGATAAAATTGCAATAAAACGTTGATGTTTTTTAATCCTTTCATTCTGTAATAAACCTGGGCAGCGGTGCAGAAGGCCTGAGTTTATCCAGAGGAGTATGTTTAGAAGGCCAACACACAGAGACGTACAATAAACTTAAACTCAAACCATTTTACATTTACAATCACCATTAACCAAACACGTCTTTCCACTGCGGTTGGAAAGTGGAGCACCTGGAGAAAACCCACACAACATGCAAACTCCACAGAAAAAAGCCCCAGTCAAAGATTCAACCAGGCCCTTTGGTGCTATGAGTAAACCATGCAAACCATTGTAATGTACTCTGAACACAATGAAAATTATAAAACAACATACTGACAGAACATCAGAAAGTCTCTTTTTATCTTAAAATTTAGTTTTAACATCATTATTTTAAGAGGCAGCAGCAGCATTTCATGACTCTTCAAACATGCCTGTAGCTCAGTGAAAATGTTTTTGGCTCCACCACTGAATTTAACACATCGCAGGCCTGTTTCTAATATATATTAGATATATATTAGATATATATATATATATATATATATATATATATATATATATATATATATATATATAT